GTTTTTTTCTTAATACAAGAGCAGGAAATGAATAAGCCTTACCCTTTAGGACAGCAAGAAAATGCACATGATTTCCTGAGGATGGGAAGGAGAAACAGAGAAGCTGTGTGGTCTGTCTTTGTATATATGTCTCCATTTTCTCCCAACTCTTTAAAAAGTAATAGACTTACTTTGGAAATCTATAGATTTCATACCACAAATCTTTATATTTTAGATCAAAACTCTTACTTCACAGACACAATATTTCAGAAATATTTCATATTTCAAGTGTGAAAGTTCTGAAACACTGTGATTTTGAATCCAGCCAGATTATAATAAAAAGTACAGACATTTTGCCATGAAGTTCTGACATTCCAAGAAAATTTATCAATTTTCTCTCCAATTAGTTTAAGCACCAATTTAAATGCAAGAAGCCATCAATAATGTAACTAGTAAGTGTAATCATACTGTTGAAATAAACACACATTTTGAAGTTAAGTTTTTACAATACAGGTTTCACAGTTCAACTGAAATTGTCAAATTACAGTTCTAAAGTAGCTGATTAAATTCTTTCATTACCATAACAATGATTCATGGTGATTGAAAGCTACTTATCTTGCATATGATATATTCTAACTTCCAAGCGTCCTTGAGTAATGGTTAATATAAATGCAAAGGATAACAGATCAGTCTCCCTCACTATGAAGTTGAAACATCTAAATTGACAGTATGGTTCAACATCCCACTTCTTTCAAAATGATAGGAAGAACAAATATATCAAACAGCAAAGGATCAAAACCAAATAAGAGTTAGAAAAAGTTGCTGGGGCAAAGGCAAACATAATTTGCATAATTCTTTGTATTTTCAGTTAATAGCTTTGGATTGTAAGACTAGGGAAAGAATAACATGTTATTAATTGGATCTAGATAGCTTGAGAGTCTGACTCAGAATAAGGGAGTTCATAAGTTCATAGGATTTCAAAACATTTTCAATCTTATTTTTCAAAAGATACTCCTTTCTCTTCCCTCCATGGTTGTTTAACAACCATTCAAAGTTATAACAGTGCTGAACAAATGACTTATGACCAGTCCTCAAGCTTATGACCGTCGCAGCATCCTCATGTTACATGATTAAAATTTGGGTGCTTGGCAACCAGCATGTATTTATGATGGCTGCAACATTTCCATTTGTGACTTTCCCAGCCAACTTCCAATAAGCAAAGACAATGAAGAAAACTGGATTTGCTTAACACCTGTGTGATTCATTTAATGACCCCAGTAATTCACTTCTGGCAAAAAGGTTATAACATCAGGCATGATTCATTTAACAACTGCCTTGCTTAGTAACAAAAGTTCTGATCTCAACTGTGATCGTAAGTCAAGGACTACCTGTCTATATTTTGAAAAAGTACAAGAAATAGGTAGTACAAATAAGAAAATGAGCTACAGGTTGAAAAATATTTTCTGCTCATTAAGGGTAGATAAACAGCAAATGTTAAGAATTATTGAGCTAATATATTTTAATAATATTTTATTATATTTTACTAGTATATTTTATATCAATTTTTCTGGTCAAAATCCACAAGCCCATTAGCCTTTAAGCTAAAAAATGTTTAGTTCACATTGTTCAAACCATTGAAAGAAAACTATAGTAATAAATCATGCATTTCATCAATAATATAAATTATACATCGAGTTAGAATATGATTCTAAACCCAAATTTTAAATATGGCGAATTCCACATATAAAATTGTAGTTCCAAAATAGTTTCCAATTAGAATTAAATTATGCATCAGACTAACTTTTAAATACTAACTTTACTTTTTGTTGTTTAACAGAAAACAGAAAACTTTGCTGTCAACCACTCTTAGCTACAAGCAGCAGATAATTTTGCTGAATGCATAGGCTATTAACTGTATCTGATCCCATGACATGATATTCCAGGCCAGTTTTCCTCTGTAAACCTTCCTGACAGATTTGAAATTAAGTATGGAATGTATGTAGAAGATGCTCTTAAACAGACTGTCTCAGCTGATTTTAGTGATGGTTCAGGAGAACAACTGTTAAGATTAAGGCAGCCTTCAATGTGCATTTGAAGTACTAGGTCTGGGATAACCTGTTCAATATGTGTTTGATGTCTCTTATTTTTTATTAGCTTTTGTGTTGTCAACTAATGGCCTAGTTTAAACAACCTTTAAAAATAACTACTTCACTGATTATTCAGTTCCATATTTGTACACGTGCTTGCCCACCAGCTTTATACAGATACCCTGAACAGAAATAAAATTGATCTTGTGGATCCATATGAGAAATATTCTTAAGACAAGAGGGCAGATTTACAAGAGTCAGAGTTTTTGATAGCTAGTGTCAACTCTATAACAAACCTGGCTGCAGCCATCTTGCTCGTTTTAGGTTGCCACAAGACCTTGAGGGGGTATGGAGGATTTCTGCTAGTCTAAACATTTCACTGTCCCATGGGAACCAAGGTCATTTCTGTCGGTTAGGTGGGGGGGAGCATGAGCATTTGGTTAGAAAGCCTGCCAAACTATTTTATTGGGAAATATAGGTGCTTGCATAGCAATGGGGTGGGAAGTTTAACATTGTAATACTGTTTCCCTTTGAAGGGGATTTCAGACTTGGTTTCACTTTTGACTTATGCCTATACTATGTAGCCAATAAACATGTTCTTTGAGGAAACCTCTAGCCTCGGAGTTCTGATTTGTTTGATCTCATCTATCGGAACCTTGACAGCTAGCTCTGGTCAAAAGTCTTGCAGCAGCCTTCTTCACCAGCATACCAGATATTCATCAAGAGTATGCCCAGTTAAAAAGCCTTAGTATAATCCACTATAATGTACAGGATGATAACTACTGTAGATCCACCTTTACCGAAAGCAGACACAATTTGTGCTCTAGCTAAGATGAATGAAAGCAATGATTCCACAGCTGAAAATCCAGAGCTACACATCAGCTTTATAATTGGTTTTTAAAGAAGGTAGGATCTACATAGGTGGCAATTTGGTCCATGTAGCATTTTCCATTCAAACTGCAACTACATTCACTAGGCATGAGAAAATGAATGCAGTAGAATTTCTGTTTTTTGCATAACGCAAGCATGGATATAGCTGTCTTAGTTACAGCTCCTGCACATGAATCTGCTTTTCTACCATTCTGCATTTGCTCAGGAGAAGCTGTACTTCAGAGAACAGGACCACATACACTGAGGGTTTGCCTGTTTGCAAGAGGAATGGGAAAATATCTGTTGATAGTGCAGTTCCGTCTTTCCGTAGAGAGATAATGGCTATTTTTAATGGACAAAATCAACTTTTTCTGATATTTTTCATCCACTGGTGCTTTATATCTACTTGTTTCTTCCCGCCCTCCTTCCATCGAAGAATATTTTAAAATACATATAGCCTCCTGTTTTCAATAGTGAAAGCCTTGATGATTCTCACAGTAATATACTTTATAATTATCTCAACCATAATATGCTTTAAACCACTATTATCCAGAACTAACATCACAGATCATTTCCAGAAGAGGAAACATCCACAAGGACAGAAAATAGCATTAGTTGTCCTGGGAATGCGTCAAGGGAATCACTAATAAACTAAATATATCAAAGATGAGATTAAACTCTCATGTAAGCTCTCTTGGCGATTCTAAGCAAAAACAAATGTTATACCCCTATTCTAGGCTATTCTAGGACTATCAGGATTTACCAGAACTGAGCTGAGTAAATTTGGCAATTTGAGAGCAAAGAGACATAGTTCTCTGTAGTAGTCCCTAAGTTTTTTTGCACCATAAATCTCTAACCCTACAATGACTGGGCTCATTTTTGGATGACATTTTGTTAAAACCTCATGTTTAGCCATGTTAATTAGCAAACCTCCTAACCTGTGGAAGCACCTGACCCAACCTTGTCTAGGCACAAAGCTTCCCATTGGGGTTGGCTAGTCCTTGGATGGAAGACTCCCAAAGACTATAGGCTAGACTGGGATGTAAAAAAATAAAATCCCAGAAGACAGTATTAGCAAATAGCTGCCATACTGCTACCAAGAAAGCTACTTGGACCTTATGACTGTGTACGCTTCAAAATAGTTCAGAAGCGCTTCTATTCGGCATATGCTTGAGTAAAAGGTGTTGCTTGAAGAGCTGCATTAACTTTAAGGAGTGAATTTGTTACAGCTGACACAGACCTTTTCAGGCTTATTTTATATGAGCAGCAGACAGATGTTCCATACATATTTGGTTCTACACAGGGCTTCTTCTGAATTATGTCTAAGTGCGCTTGGCGATAATAAACAGATGCAAGTACGGTAATCAGCACGAGAAGCTTGACTTAAGGACATCTCCACATTTTGAATTTGTGAAGGCCAATTTTCCCACCTTTTTACTTAATCTAGCTATGGATTTTTTTTTTTTAGAATGTTGATCAAACTGGAAGGGTGTGCTTGCTACGGAAATAAATTTCTACAAGATTTGTTTCATAGAAGACAACGGAACAGAAATTGATTTTGCTCAGAACAATGTATTTTTAAGTATGCCCCGTGTCTCTTCTGTCTTATACTGCCTAGTTCAGTTCTTATGTTTTCTGGGCACTGAGCCCAGAATTGTTTAATTCCGTCTGGAGATTGCAGCATTTTCCAGGTACTGTATCAAGACAGATGGTTGTTTTATAAGTTAATGAAAGATAAAATGAAAAACTGTCTCTCTATTACTAGCAATAACCAGCATATTAAAGCCTGTATGTCTCTTTTTTATATAAAGAGAGAAAGATTTTTTTTATTATTATTACAGCTACTGGGTAACAAAATAAATCAAGCCTTGAAATTATTACATTTTTTACATCAGTGACATCTGATAATATTAGAAGCACTATTCTTCTTCAGCTATATAAAAGGAGCAATCTGCTGTTGAATATCAGTATTTTTATTCTTTTAAAAAGCCAAGAATCTATTGTTTTGTTCTAATCATAGCTTTTAAATACTATTTAACATGACAAAGAAGAATCAGAACTTACCGTGTATTCTGATCCACATTCAGCCGATAGGAATAAAAGAAAAAGAATGACATAAAATTATTTCATTGTTCACATTACTTTAATTAAAATGCAAAATGCATTGCTAATTTTGATGCATGATACAAAATCCTAAGAATCATATGGGCTGGAGCACAATTCAAAGGGGCACTATTTGTAATTGTTCAATAATGAATGGGCAGAGAAATTGTTGGAAGTTGTGAACTGAATTTGATGGGTGTCATTCTTGCATAATTGTGCTTCTCAGCTCCCCTATTCTTAATGACATGTTAAAGTTACAGAATTGTATATGTGTATTGTATATATTAATTGATATTTTTATAGCACTCACCTTGGAGGGCAAGATTAAGGTTCCTATTATAAATAAGCATGGAGAACATAACAAGTTTGCCTCAAACAACTGCAAAATACTTAACAGAAGGTTATATTTTTGTTAATCCTGTTTCATCTGTGAGAACAGTTGCCTTCTTTTAGGAAAGTAGATATGACAGGTTGGGGTGAGGAACTGGACATGAAGACTAAAATGGCACCACATAAGAAAACTAAATTCATGGGACTTAGCAAAAGTCCCTTGAAATTCATCTCTCCAAAGATGATGATGATGACTTTGTTCCCTCTGCAGTATTTTTTCCTCTGATTGACAACTGCTCTCCAAGGGTCCACTCTGAGGCAAAAGACTTCCATGATATCTTCTCCATTTTTAATTTGTAAACTGGAGAAGTCAGTGTGTGCTCTACCACTAGGCTACCTTCCCTTTTTCCAGTGAAGGGACTCATGGAGATGGTGCTGGTGCAGTTGGAAATTCTTATGAGACGGACCCCAAGGATAATTCCACACAACAATCTAAAGGGAGTAGTCGGTGGGAACAATGGAACCCAAGGAGATCATTTCTGTCCCTGGAGAGTAGTCAGGGCTTCACTGTGGCTTTTCGGGAATGTACACATCTCACAACTCTGGCTTCCCCTCAAGCAGCACAATTTTCCAATTGTCTGTTAGCTCAAAGTTAGAGCATGTTTGCTCTCTTCTGGCGCCAAAAAACCTCTGCGGTGCCAGGAGAAATATGCCCTTGACATTTTACCTCAGATGGCAGAAGTGAGAACAGGTTTTTTTTTCCTGCAAAAACAGTGGGTATGCCCTGGACATGTAAAGCAATTTTCAGATAGGCATGCAAGGAGACCAAACTCAGCCCTGATACCACAAACAATAATTTGTAGCTGTATGACTAATTCGTGTTCAGCTTGCCTCTCCAGTTAGCAAAAGTTCTAATTATGAAGAATGGTAACTTGTCCTTGGATGAACTGAAGGAAATAGTGCCTGATCCTTGTAACCCCTGCTAAATAATATCCCTGGTGCAATACAGCTATTAGGTTAACTATGAGAGAGATCAGCTACAGCAACCAGGTGAATATATCATCAAACCTACTACACAATTTTATGTAGCGTAGCACTTAAGCTGCAGTGAAGAGAGTTGGGTAATACATATTTAGCAAAGATTAGACCAAGAAATGAAAATATGGGGGATTCATTATTTTTATGGGGGTTAGGTTTTCTAATCTGTAACTTATAAAACTTTAACTTATAAAAATTAAGGGGAAATGAGCAACGTATAAAATAACAAAAATGTCCAGAGGACTACCTATGAATTTGTGTTATAAAAATAGCAGTTTTGTGTGGCACTTTTAAGGCTGTGAAATGTATTCGAGAATAAGCCAGCCTTCTTCAACTAACTGTAAATCCTCAATTTGCAGCTTAGCCTCTGTTCAAAGTCACAATGGTACTGGAAAAAATGTGACTTATGACCAATCCTTACACTGACAAATGTTGCAGCATTCATATGGTCACGTGATCAGAATGGGAAATCCTCACCCCAACCTGGGTTTGCCTAAACTCCAGAGAGAGAAAAACCAAACAAAATTTAGGGAATATGCAGCTGAGGGGTGAGCTCGAAGGCAGCCTGTCAACTCCGGAATTTTTTTTAAAAAAGAAGTAATTTTATTAAAAGCGAGGGAAGATAAGATTCCTCACACTGAATACACGGTTAAAAAAAAGAGAGAGATAAATACAAACAAACTCAGGTAATCCTCGAATTACGATCACAACTAGCACCAGAATTTCAATTGCTAAGCAAGGCGATTATTAAGTGAATTATGCCCAATTTTACCTTTTTTGCCATGGTTATTAAGCGAATCCCTACAGTTTTGTGACTCATGTGGTCATTAAGCGAATTCGGCTTCCCTCATTAATTACTTCTCACAAGTCAGTCAGGAAGGTCACAAATGGTGATCACGCGGCTCCAGGATGCTGCAATTGTCATAAATACACGCTGGTTGCCAAGCGCTGAAATTTTGATCACATGATTGTGGGGATGCTGTAAGGGTTATAAGTGTGAGGAATGGTTGTAGGCCACTTTTCTGAGTGCCACCGTAACTTTGAACAGCCACCAAACAGATGGTTTTAAGTCAAAGACCACCTGTAGCTTATAATAAAACAGCTCAGCCTTGCCTGAGGTAATCCCTCCTTAGTTAGCCATCTCCAAAAATCTCAAATCTTCTTTGTTTCTATGGGGTCTCATGGATCAGGTGATTTACTACTGGGTGCAGGAGGCTGCCTATTTGCTATTTAAAGGGCCCACTGCTCCCTGCTACAGTTTCTTGAACCAAAACAGGAGTGAAGCCCAAAATTCAGCTACCCGGGAAGCTGTCCAGTGATGGGCCCAAATGCAGTTTTCTAATATTGGGAGGAGTGGGAGAAGAACTGAAAGGAAAGCAGGTAGTTTTGGTGAGGAAAATAGAATGGAATAGGATTCTATTCACATCCATAATCCAAAACTTCCACTCTAAAAAAATGCCCCCCTTTTACATTTTCGTATATTTTTATATTTGCACAGGACATGGAAAATAATCAAGGGTTGCAAATCAGATGTTAGAAATTCAATCTTCAGAAACCAGCTGGAGTCAGTCAGGATTCAACTGACGTGCTACAGGTAGTCCTCGACTTATAACTTCTCATTTAGTGACTGTTCAAAGTTACAATGGCACTGAAAAAAGTGAGTTATGACCATTTTTCACACTTATACCGCTGTAGCATCCCCATGGTCATGTGATCAAAATTTGGATGCTTGGCAACTGATTCATATTTATAACACTTGCAGTGTCCTGGTGTCATGTGATCACCTTTTGTGATCTTCTTACAAGCAATGGGGAAGCCAGTTTCACTTAACAACCGTGTTGTTAACTTAACAACTGCAGTGATTCACTTAACATCTGTGGCAAGAACAGTCATAAAATGTTTCACTTAGCAACAAAAATTTTGGGCTCAGCTGTGATTGTAAGTTGAGGACTATCTGTACTATCCTTCCTATGGTCATTCTTGAACAAAGGAATTCCAAGGGAAAACTTCAGCTGAAGTTCTATTATTTATATTAATTGGTCTAAATAAGAATCCATGATTTCCTATTTCACTACGGAGATTAATTAATTCATCAGTGTTTTAGATCAACTGTCACTGCCATTATAAAAAGTCACGGTGATTATTTTGCTTAGAACCAACCTCTAATCATTTCCCTCTGACTTAACTGCTTGCAATTCTAAACCCAAACAAACAATATATGTATACCCACTAAAGATAAATATACTTTGGATGGAGCATTTAGTCTGTAAAATATCAAATGATAGTTAACAGTTTTAATCCAAGATAGAATAGCAGAATCATGTAACAACTGAAATCATTAAACCATCGACTTTCTTTACCATCACAACCCCTTAAAACATACCTGTAATTGTATATGGGTAGTAATTCCATGCCTTCTCTGTGACATAAAATATTTTGGGGACAACAGCTCTTGCCCAGCTTGGAAGTTTGCTGCAAGAGAAAAAAGAACTTGAATCACAAATACAATCCACTCTGTTAATTTCCCCTAATGAGCAATAATCAGTGGATGATATAAATTTGTATATATGGCTAAAGAAATAGATATATTATATGCTGTAAGCCACCCAGAGTCATTTGAAACAAGATGGGTGGCAAATAAATTCAACAAACAAACATTTCTGCACTGAATACTGCAAAACAGAGGTCTCAAACTTCCCATTTTTCTCATTCACACGTTTAAAACTTGGAGAGTAGCGCCCCAAGAAGTTGTGTCTTCCCAATGGGACAAGAATGGTGGAGTATGGCCAGCCATAAAATACCCATTTTCCAACATGTAGGATTATGAGACTACAAGAAAACGCCAATGATTGGATCAAATGGAATATTTGCTTTTCTGTATTGCAGTTATAAATTGGGAAATTGTTGTCCATACATAGCAGCCATTTGTTTTTCACTGTGGCAACTGGTCAAAATGTATCTTCCAAGCTTAGTTTTAAATAGCCATAAAACAGGATTATTTTTCCTAGCATTGCCATTCAGTAAATATAGTTTGAAATGCAAAAGCTCCCTCAAATCAAGCTTGACTCCAGGTGCTGTCAGTGCAGTTTTGTAGTTTTCCTGGTAGTAACACACAAGTGATTTGGACACTGCTTTCTCCTGGCCTTTTTTTCCTAGCCAACACCTGGGGTTTCCCATGATTGATTGATTTATTTTATTTATTTATAAAAATTACTGGCTGCCCATCTTACTACAAATTAACTCTGTGTGACTTACAATTGTATATATAGTGAGGTCTTTAGGCCGTTACGAAAGGATAGGACGGTTGAGGCCAATCTCGAGGTGTTCCAGAGGGCAGATGATCTCCTCCCCTACTTAACCCTTTTTCTAATAAGCCAGTTACTTATTATAACAAATATATACTTTAGGCATCAACAATGTATTATAATACAGTAAAGGACCAAAAATAAATATCATTAAAATGAAAATGTTATGATTTTTAAAAAATATGAATTGTACATTTTAGAAACTCAATCCTTTGACTTCATTTGATAATCCTAAATAATCACACCAGTGTTCCTACACTACATAATGTTTAGGTATTGTATAAACCCTGAAGAGTGAACAACAAAAGTATAGCCTGGTAGCATTTTTCTGATTAATGATCCAAAATGTTAGCTTTGCATTGCATCTAATAACTTTAAGGTTTATTTTGCTCTCCCAGTTCTAAAGTTGTTTTCTTATTATCCAGTGGTGGCTGAATGAGTGATGATACTCCTAACATGGGAAAAAATGCAGTTTGCTTGTGTGCTGACGTCAGTATAAATCCTTCTCATATGCTGGTAAGGATCCAGCAGAGAGCAGGGGAGATGATAAAGAGATAGGTGACAAACCCTACAGGAATTGGACTGTGGTTAGCTTAAACAGAAAATGAATAAGATGAATATGCCCAAATCCCAGAACAGGGAATTTTTTGCCAAATAACGTGAAAAATTAGGTGGTCAGTGAGTTGGGACATGCTTACGAATTGGGTGCACAGAAAACGTGGAGGTAGGGCTGCTATGTGTGGAGAACATTTCTTCATGCATTCACTCAGATAAGAAAAAGTAGCAATATGCTTTTCATAAAAGGTATTTTTGTTGGGGGGGAAATAGTCATGATTGCCTTGACTATTGTCAGATGCTGTTATGTGAGTATAATCTTCAGAGGTATCCAGAAGTGCCATTCAGTGTAAAATGCAACAGTGAAGATATTATCCCTTCTGCACTGCTGGTGATCCACATTAAAAAAAAAAAGACTTCATGTATTTATTTACAGTGATTTATATGATTTTTCAGAATACTGTATCACCTGAGCGCACTGCGGTGGCCAGCATGGAGATCTGGAAACGCAAGAATATCAGTCTTAATACCAAGTGCAAAATAATAAATGCTACTGTTTTTTCTGTAACTACTAGTTGTGAAAACTGGATAAAAACAGATAGAAATTAAATTCCTTCAAATTATGGATGTGGAGATTGCTACTGAGCAGAACTTAAACAGCAAAGGGGGGGGGAGAGAGAGAGAGAGAGAGAGAGAGAGAGAGAGAGAGAGAGAGAGAGAGAGAGGAAGAGGAAGAGAAGAGCATCAAGAAATAAATACCATTGGAAACTAAGTTTACCAAGCTCAGGCCCCATTATTTTGATCATACAATTTATTCAAATTCCTTAGAAAAAATTAACTATGCTAAGAATGGATGGAGGTGCTAGAAAATGAAACTGGCTAAAGCAGTGGTTCTCAACCTTTCTAATGCCGCGACCCCATAATACAGTTGCCCATGTTGTGGTGACCCCCAACCACTTATACATCACCAGGTGCCAGGGGTGTGGCCAAAGAAAAGGGGGAAAAAATGGCGGACAGCCTTGTTTGGCGACCCCCGTGAAATGGTCGTTCGACCCCTAATGGGGTCCCGACCCACAGGTTGAGAACCACTGGGCTAAAGCCACACTGGATAGAGACCATCAATAAGATTCTGGTTTAAATGTAGAGATATTAAACCAAGTTGTAAACTATCAAAAGGAATGAAGAAAATTAATAGTCATAAATAACTGAACCAAAATAAAGAGTGAGAATGTGTCTCCCGCACAATTAATTCTAGATACCTTACAGTTCTAAAACAATAAAATTATCAAAACCAGTCCACAATGCTGTATGTATTGGCAGGGCCAAAAACTTTCCACTAAAATGCTGGCTGTTCAGCAAATATGGTATTCAGCCCTCGGAAAGCCCTGCAGAAAAGCGCGAGGTTTGCTAATTTTAAAAATCAGAACAGGCCAAGGGCCATCTAGACCTACAGGCCCACTGCTCTTCAGTGAGGCACTAACACTGTCAAGACATCCTCCAAGCTTCTTTACTTCCTCGGGGCAGAGGTATGGAGAGGACTTGACAGCATGCTTTCTTGGGCTAATCACTTATTGGCTGGACAGGTCCCATTTGGAGCAAAGAGTTTTAATGGAAAGAACACAGATGGTTCTGAGCCAGTGATTTCTCAGACACATTTTGAGTTGCTAGCATTTACTTTTTTAAACCTTACCTGGGGTTAGGGCCTATCTATCTGAAAGCCCAACTCTTGTGATATTGAGACAATCTGATGTAGTGATTAAGGTGCTGGATTATGAACCAGTAACTCTCTCTCAGCCCAACTCACCTCAGAGGATTGTTGTGGGGGGAAAACAGGAAAAGGGAGCATTATGTACGTTGCCTTGAGTTGTTGTAAAAAGTAAAGATGGGATATATTAAATAAATAAATACATAAAGGCATTCAGATGTTAAGAAGAGCCTTCTAATTGGGGCCTGTCTATTGCACATATTAGAAAGGGTCTTCCGCATGGCTCTCAAACTATAGCATGTGTTCTTCATAGAGTTGCATTTGACCCCACCTACTTTTCTATTTCTTCCATCGAGGTAGTAGTAGTAGTAGTAGTAGTGAAATAATAATAATATTATTTCAAAAAACTGCAGCTTCCTGCAATAACTCCAGCAATGCTACAAAAAACTGCGCTACTTGGAACATCTTACATTTTAAAGAGGTATTTGGTTGATACCTAGGATGCTGGCAGCAACCCGTGTCAACCATCAGCGCCAGTCAATTTGGATGTTCAGTTGACTGAGGTCTAATGAATAATAATAATAATCATGATGATGATGATTATGTTGGAAGGGACCTTGCAGGTCATCTAGTCCAACCCCCTGCTCAGGCAGGAAACCCTATACCAGCGGTTCTCAACCTGTGGGTCGCGACCCCTTTGGGGGTCAAACAACCCTTTCACAGGGGTCACCTAAGACACGGGTTGGCAACCCGCTGGGGCGGTGGCCAGCGGGGGCATCGCACCCCAGGAAGCCGAGCCGGTTACATGTCTCCCCAGGTTGGGTGGGGTGGCAGTCATGGCTGGGGTGGCGGCCACATGTCTCTCTGGCTGAGTGAGGCCAGAGAGGCGGCAGTGACTGGGCAGCCACACCCCTTCACCATCCTCCCGCTGTTGCCTGGCTGCCGTGGGGTTCTCCACCACCACCACCGCCCTCGGTGTTGCAGGAGAAGGAGACCTTGGGCTGCAAGGGCGGCGGGGCCGGCGGCAGTTAGGACCCCCCTCGTCCCTGCAGTGGCACTCCCTGTGGCCAGCATGGCCGCCCATGGTGCAGGACCCCAACGATGCTGCAGTGGCCGCCGCCGGAGCCGCTGCCTTCCGTCCTACTCCCCCTCCCCGCCCATTTGGCTGAGGGGGCGGCGGGGACCTCCGACGATGCTGCAGTGGCTGCCACCAGAGCCACTGCCTCCCATCCTGCTCCCCCTCCCCGCCCGTTTGGCTGAGGACACAGCGGGGGCGGCAGCCGGGCCGGGGGTGGCGGGGACCTCCGACGATGCTGCAGCGGCCGCTGCTGTGCCGCCGCTGCCGCCGTCACCAAAGCTGCTGCCTCCCGTCCTGCTCCCCCTCCCCGCCCGTTCAGCATCATTTGCCTTTCGTTCTCTCTCTCTCCTCACCTGGAGAGGGAGAAAGAGAGAAAGAGAGAGAGAGAGAAAGAGGAAAGAAAGAGAAGAGAAAAAGAGAGGAAAGAAAGAGGAAAGAGAAAGAGAAGAGAAAGAGAGAGAGGAAGGAGAGAAAGAGGAAAGAGAAAGAGAGGAAAGGGAGAAAGAGGAAGAGAAGAGAAAGAGAAGAAAGAGAGAAAGAGAGAGGAAAGAGAAAGAGAAGAAAGAGAGAAAGAGAGAGGAAAGAGAAAGAGGAAAGAAAGAAGAGAAAGAGAGAGGAAAGAGAAAGAGAAGAGAAAGAAAGGAAAGAGAGAAAGAAGAAAGAGAAGAGAAAGTGAGAGGAAAGAGAGAGGAAAGAAATGAAAATACATCCTGCATATCAGATATTTACATTACGTTTCATAACAGTAGCAAAATTACAGTTATGAAGTAGCAACGAAAATAATTTTATGGTTGGGGGTCACCACAACATGAGGAACTGTATTAAAGGG